TTCTTATCTAGCCATACATTTTATTGAAAAGAATAAAGAGAGAGAAATTTTAAGTTAGTACAGTGTACTTGTTTATTTTTTCTTTTTCTTGAACGCAAAAATCTATGTCCTTCGAAGTTTCAATTATCACTCTCTCTTTTTGTATCATCTCATAAAGACAAAGGAATTGGATACAACCTCACTGTATTTCATTACCCATACCCCACATTTAACCTCTGATTCCCTCAGATGTGCTCCCCAGATAACTAAACTTTTTGTTACCACAACGTATTTGGCACTGGCCTCATTGTTCTGACATGAGTTGCTTAGACGCCATTGATTTCTCTCCCATCAACCCCCACCCCTATTCCTCTCTCCTATTAGGCTCCTTCCATTGCTATCTGTGAAATGTACGTCTGGTCTCCTTCTAAACTTCTAAATCTGAAAGTCCAATTATTTGTTCTGATTCCAGTTGTCAAACATGGTTATTCCATGGGCTGATTTGTATGATGAAATATAAAATCTACCAGCCACTTTCAACATCATTCTTTCAGGGATTTTACATCGATCTGCGTGGGCATTTATTGTCTCTCTCTGCATAAACCAGGGACGTGAGAACTTCATAGGACTTGGAAGCTTTTTATTTTCAGGCCCTACTAGTCTTGTATGGGGTTAAGATTCCCCCTGTTGGAGAAGAGAAAGGAGGCACGTCAGGAACTATAGTTCAAATAGAGGGTGCAATGATTATCAGTAGAATATAACTATATGAGTTGTAAAATGAGAATATTCATGTACTATACTCTCATTGATTTGAGTTCGTACAGCTTTTAGTTGAAGTTATATGACAAATAATGAAGTATTAGATCGAGTAAAAGAATAATAAAGACAAGAAATATAGTAGAGGAATTAAGATATTTTATTGACTCAAGAATAATGGAAAAGAGAGAAAATTACAATGAATCCTATAATTCTAGTAATCTATTTTCTCACACTATAAAATTGTATAGAAGAGGCTAGTATTTATATGAAACATGTAGGGGATGTCCAAACTCTCCTAATAGAGTTGTTGATGAAGTAGG